TTTGCAGAGCTAAAGGGAAAAGGAGCTGAAAACGTTTTTAAAAAGTACCATTTGATGACATCACGAGGTGGAACAGAGCGTTTGCAGATGTAAACAGACTCAGAATAAAGATTTACTCAAACAAACACAACTGCAGCTCTGATTTTGACGAGGAAACAATATTAGATTGTGACTGAAATTATGATTTAAGCTCATTTGCAGTAGTTAGACGTGTGCAAAAAAATCAAAATATCGATATATCGTGTCGTTTAACGTGATGTTTTAGTGTCGATATCGTGTTCTGTTGTATCGATAAATCAAGAGGATTTTTTGGTTTATTTGACTAAATGTTTTTAGTTTCAGTTTTGTTGTTTGTTCAGAGGAAGAAACTTGTTTCTGTGACACGTTTGACATTTTCTCTGTTTTGACGATTTAAATGTTTAAAATGTTTCATATGAAGAAGTGATTTAACTAAAACTTTTAGTGATTTAGGCTTTATTTTTATTGAACCGTATCGAATCGATTTGAAATATATCGAAGTGAAAGTTCACTGTATCAGACACTTGTGAATAATGTAGTAGTAGTTGTAGTAGTTGTAGTAGTTGTAGTAGTTGTAGTAGTAGTTGTTGTAGTACTAGTAGTAGTAGTAGTAGTAGTAGTAGTAGTAGTAGTAGTGTAGTAGTAATAGTAGTAGTAGTAGTTGTTGTAGTAGTAGTAGTAGTAGTAGTAGTAGTAGTTGTTGTAGTAGTAGTAAGTAGTAGTAGTAGTAGTTTGTTGTAGTAGTACTAGTAGTAGTAGTAGTAGTTGTTAGTTGTAGTAGTAGTAGTAGTAGTAGTAGTAGTTGTTGTTGTAGTAGTAGTAGTAGTAGTAGTAGTAGTAGTTGTAGTTTGTAGTAGTTGTTGTAGTGTAGTAGTAGTAGTAGTAGTAGTTGTTCTCTTAGTAACAAATCTTTAAAATATTGTGTGTAAAAGTACCAGGCGTCTGCAGACTGGAGCAGTGAGTTCGATACGTCCGTCAGTTCTTGTTGAAATCACCTTCAATTTTCACTGAACATGTGATCATCTGCTCATTTTAAAGCTGCACTGTGGAACTTTTTGGTTGTGTAGGAGCTGCACTTATGTCGACATTTTCACTGTTTGGACTAAAATGTGTTTTTCACTTTCACTTTGAACAAACTCAGTGGATTTTTTCACTGAACTCTAAGTGAACAGTATCGAAAAGCGCATCGTATCGAGGAGTAAATGCAGAGACGACATAAATTTGACTTTTATGTAAAAAAAACGGCGGCGGCGGCGGCGGCGGCGGAGGCGGCGTCAGATCTGTGCAGGGGACGACATCAGAACTGTTGATGTGTTGAGTTTTTTCTGGCGTGTGATTCGCTGGAGGTTCTGTTCCGTCTGAAGCTGTTACTCGAGTATCTGCAGATGTTTTCCATGTCGTTTGCTCGTGTGCTTTGCGTCTCCACGGTAACTGCTGAACATTCTGCCATAGAGACACATGTAGAACACCTCAGTGTGACGTCTCCATAAAGTGTCAGTCGAGCTGCACCAACCGCAGAGTTTGAGATTTGCCTTTTTAAAGCTGCACTGTGGAACTTTTCTGCTGGAGGCTCCGTCAGACGCTTGTCTCCATGGAGATGATGTTGTTTTGTCGCAGGTCCGGGTCAGGTCTGTGGAGACGCGACTCAGTGTCTGTTTTTCTCTGGATGTTTGATTCTAAAATCTCCTGTGAGTCAATAAATGTAAAGAAAAAAGTTCCACAGTGAAGCTTTAAATCAGATCCTCAGTTTCCATGACACCTGAGGTTAGTTTATAGGACCTGTGTGGATCTGAGGCTCTTATAACGTTGACCTCTGACCCCGTGACCCCGTGACCCCGGGTCCGTCACCTGCAGACGGACGAGTCTCCGTCCGACTGAACATGAGGGAAAAAGAATCTTTTTTTTTTTTTTTTCTTCGATCTTGATTTTCAGTTTGATCTTTTTAAAAACACAAACGTGAACTTCAGGTGTCGAGATCTACACTTCTGTTCAGTGTGTCGAGTGTGTGTGTGTGTGTGTGTGTGTGTGTGTGTGTCGATGTGTGTGTGTGTGTGTGTGTGTCGTGTGTGTGTGTGTCTGTGTGTGTGTGTGTGTGTGTGTGTGTGTGTGTGTGTGTGTCTGTGTGTGTGTGTGTGTGTGTGTGTGTGTCTGTGTGTGTGTGTCTGTGTGTGTGTGTCGTGTGTGTGTCTGTGTGTGTGTGTGTCTGTGTGTGTGTGTGTGTGTGTGTGTGTGTGTCGTTGTGTGTGTGTGTGTGTCGATGTGTGTGTGTGTGTGTGTCTGTGTGTCTGTGTGTGTGTGTGTGTGTGTCTGTGTGTGTGTGTGTGTGTGTGTGTGTGTGTGTGTGTGTGTCTGTGTGTGTGTGTGTGTGTGTGTGTGTCTGTGTGTGTGTGTGTGTGTGTGTGTGTGTGTGTGTGTGTGTGTGTGTGTCTGTGTGTGTGTGTGTGTGTGTGTGTGTGTGTGTGTGTCGTGTGTGTGTGTGTGTGTGTCTGTGTGTGTGTGTGTGTGTGTGTCTGTGTGTGTCTGTGTGTGTGTGTGTGTGTGTGTGTGTGTGTGTGTGTGTCTGTGTGTGTGTGTGTGTGTCTGTGTGTGTGTGTGTGTGTCTGTGTGTGTGTGTGTGTGTGTGTGTGTCTGTGTGTGTGTGTGTGTGTCGGTGTGTGTGTGTGTGTGTGTCTGTGTGTGTGTGTGTGTGTGTCTGTGTGTGTGTGTGTCGAGGTGTGTGTCTGTGTGTGTGTGTGTGTGTGTGTGTGTCTGTGTGTGTGTGTGTGTGTGTCTGTGTTGTGTGTGTGTGTGTGTGTGGGTAAATCAGGTCTTAAGTTTCATTCATAAACTGTGAGAGAATAATAATAATAATAATAATAATAATAATACATTTCCATAATTTTGTGTGAAAAGAGAAACTCTGTTTGTCGACTGAACTAAAGTTTATTTAAATCAAACATGTTTCTGATCCAAAACTGCTGCTTCAGGTTTGAGATTAGAAAAACTGAAGCAGCAGTTTGGATCTGAGAAACGTGTTAAACTTTTGTCCAGTGACAAACTGAGTTTGTCTTTTGTTGTGGACCTGGACGACTGAGGCGACCTTCACATGTACTCGAGTATTTTTAAAAACAGAGACTTTTCCCTTCGTTTGTTCTCATCTTTTACACAAACGATGAATTCTCCTCTGAAAATAAATGGTCGTAACACTGAGTCTGGAGTGTAAGTCTCTGGTTTGGCGTTTGTGTGTAAAGTGAAATAAACAGAGTTTTAGGAACCGACGAGTGTTTCACTTTTACTCTTTAAGTCCAAACTTGTGAAGACGAGGAGACGAAGACTCAGGCTCAGGAGCTTTTCCCTAAACAAGAGAAAACAAGTCTCATCGAGATCGAACGAAGTGAAGTTCACGTCTGTTGATCTTTTCGATCTTTGTTGACGTCAGAGTTTCACTTAGTTTTACGTCTTTCAGGAGATTTTATGATGTTGCAGTGTTTTTTATTTGAGATGAACATTTCTGATTGTGGAGTTGAAGATCTGGAGCTGCATGTTGAGGTTTGTGCGTCAGACGTGTGAGTCCAGATCAGATCCGTCTGATCCTCGTCTTTAATCCTCGGACGAGTTGATTCCCGTTTCTTTTTGGACTGAGTTTCATTTCCAGGAAGAAAAACAAAGAAAAGCGTCAGAGGAAAGAAACGCTGCCGTCGCCTCCGTCTCGGTTCTGAGCCTGTCTGGTCCTGCTCCTGGTCCTGGTCTCCTGGTCTTGGTCCTGGTCTTGGTCTTGGTCCTGGTCCTGGTCCTGGTCCTGGTCCTGGTCCTGGTCCTGGTCCTGGTCCTGGTCCTCCTGGTCCTGGTCTTGGTCCCTGGGTCCTGGTCCTGGTCCTGGTCTTGGTCCTTGGTCTCCTGGTCCTGGTCCTCCTGGCTCCTGGTCTTGGTCTTGGTCCTGGTCTTGCTCCTGGTCTTGGTCCTGGTCCTGGTCCTTGGTCCTGGTCTTGGTCCTGGTCCTTGGTCCTGGTCTTGGTCTTGGTCTTGGTGGTCCTGGTCTTGGTCCTGGTCTTGGTCCTGGTCTTGGTCCTGGTCTTGGTCCTGGTCTTGTGCCTGGTCTTGCTCCTGGTCTTGGTCCTGGTCTTGGTCCTGGTCCTTGGTCCTGGTCTTGGTCTGGTCTTGGTCTGGTCTTGGTCTCCTGGTCTTGTCCTGGTCTTGGTCTGGTCTTGGTCCTGGTCTTGGTCCTGGTCTTGGTCTGGTCTTGGTCCTGGTCTTGGTCTGGTCTTGGTCCTGGTCTTGGTCCTGGTCTTGGTCCTGGTCTTGGTCCTGGTCTTGGTCCTGGTCTTGTCCTGGTCTTGGTTCTGGTCTTGGCTTGGTCTTGGTCTGGTCCTGGTCTTGATCTTGGTCTGGTCTTGGTCTTGGTCTTGGTCCTGGTCTTGATCTCCTGGTCTTGGTCTTGGTCCTGGTCTTGGTCCTGGTCTTGGTCCTGGTCCTGGTCCTGGTCCTTGGTCCTGGTCTTGGTCCTGGTCCTGGTCTTGGTCCTGGTCTGGTCCTGGTCTTGGTCCTGGTCTTGGTCCTGGTCCTGGTCCTGGTCCTGGTCTTGGTCCTGGTCTGGTCCTGGTCTCCTGGTCCTGGTCTTGGTCCTGGTCTTGGTCCTTGGTCCTGGTCTTGGTCCTGGTCCTTGGTCTTGGTCCTGGTCTTGGTCCTGGTCCTGGTCTTGGTCCTGGTCTCCTGGTCTGGTCCTGGTCCTGGTCCTGGTCCTGGTCTTGGTCCTGGTCTTGGTCCTGGTCCTGGTCTTGGTCCTGGTCTGGTCTGGTCCTGGTCTTGGTCCTGGTCTGGTCTTGGTCTTGGTCCTGGTCCTTGGTCTTGGTCTTGGTCCTGGTCTTGGTCCTGGTCCTGGTCTTGGTCTTGGTCCTGGTCTTGGTCCTGGTCCTGGTCCTGGTCTTGTTTGGGGCAGGACCCAAGATCCTCCAAACCACTAAACCCTGGAAAAACCTGAAAACCCGACAGAACAAAAACAACAACTGCAGCTTCACACGAGTCTCAGCAAACACACACTTCTACACAAAACCTGTTTAGATACTAAGGAACAGACCCGATACCTGATACCCGATACCTGATACTCGATACCTGATACTCGATACCTGATACTCGATACCTGATACTCGATACCCGATACCGATTCTGATCCCACCATGAAAATAAATCTCCTCTTTGTTTAAACACAGAATAAGATTTTCCACATGAAACAGTAAAACTTTATTTTCTGTTCCCAAGTGTCTTTAGTCCTGGTTTAGTCCTGGTTTAGTCCTGGTTTAGTCCTGGTTTAGTCCTGGTTTAGACCTGGTTTAGTCCTGGTTTAGTCCTGGTTTAGTCCTGGTTTAGTCCTGGTTTAGTCCTGGTTTAGTCCTGGATTAGTTCTGGTTTAGTTCTGGTTTAGTCCTGGTTTAGTTCTGGTTTAGTCCTGGTTTAGTCCTGGTTTAGTTCTGGTTTAGACCTGGTTTAGTTCTGGTTTAGTCCTGGTTTAGTCCTGGTTTAGACCTGGTTTAGTTCTGGTTTAGTTTCCTGGTTTAGTCTGGTTTAGTCCTGGTTTAGTCCTGGTTTAGTTCTGGTTTAGTCCTGGTTTAGACCTGGTTTAGTCCACCTGGTTTAGACCTGGTTTAGTTAGTCCTGGTTTAGTCCTGGTTTAGTCCTGGTTTAGTCCTGGTTTAGACCTGGGTCCTGGTTTAGTCCTGGTTTAGACCTGGTTTAGACCTGGTTTAGTCCTGGTTTAGTCCTGGTTTACCTGGTTTAGACCTGGTTTAGTTTTCTGGTTTAGTCCTGGTTTAGTCCTGGTTTAGTCCTGGTTTAGTCCTGGTTTAGACCTGGTTTAGTCCTGGTTTAGTCCTGGTTTAGTTTTCCTGGTTTAGACCTGGTTTAGTCCTGGTTTAGACCTGGTTTACCTGGTTTCCTGGTTTAGAGTCCTGGTTTAGTCCTGGTTTAGTCCTGGTTTAGACCTGGTTTAGTCCTGGTTTAGGTCCTGGTTTAGTCCTGGTTTAGACCTGGTTCAGTCCTGGTTTAGTCCTGGTTTAGACCTGGTTTAGTCCTGGTTTAGTCCTGGTTTAGTCCTGGTGGAGAGCAGAGGATTCTGGGACTTGTAGTTTCAGTTTGATCCACACTGTGAGGTCAGAACTTGGTGACCTCGACCTCTGACCCGTTGACCTTCTTCTTCTTCTTCTCAGCGGCGCGTCCGTCGTTGGCGATCGACATCCGCGCCGACGCCGAGGTGGTGGTGGAGAACGGGACCACGGCCGTCCTGCGCTGCTCCTTCAAGTCCAAGCAGGTGGTGAGCAGCGCCACCTCCGTCACCTGGAACTTCCAGTCCAGCCAACCTGACACGCAGTTCTCCAAGGTCGACTACACGGTGAGGAGAAGCCGCGCTCGCATCATCTCCTCCTCTCACCTGCTCCTCTGCTCCTCACACCTGCTCCTCACACCTGCTCCTCACACCTGCTCCTCACACTCCTGCTCCTCACACCTCCTGCTCCTCACACTGCTCCTCACACCTCCTGCTCCTCACACCTCCTGCTCCTCACACTCCTGCTCCTCACACCTCCTGCTCCTCACACCTGCTCCTCACACCTCCTGCTCCTCACACCTGCTCCTCACATCCTGCTCCTCCTGCTCCTCACACCTGCTCCTCACACCTGCTCCTCACACCTGCTCCTCACACCTGCTCCTCACACCTGCTCCTCACACCTCCTGCTCCTCACACCTGCTCCTCACACCTCCTGCTCCTCACACCTGCTCCTCACACTGCTCCTCCTGCTGCTCCTCACACCTTCTCCTCCTCACACCTGCTCCTCACACCTGCTCCTCACACCTGCTCCTCACACCTCCTGCTCCTCACACCTGCTCCTCACACCTGCTCCTCACACCTGCTCCTCACTCCTCACCTGCTCCTCACCTGCTCCTCACACCTGCCTCACACCTCCTGCTCCTCACACCTGCTCTCACACTGCTCCTCACACCTGCTCCTCACACCTGCTCCTCACACCTGCTCCTCACACCTCCTGCTCCTCACAACCTGCTCCTCACACCTCCTGCTCCTCACACCTGCTCCTCACCTGCTCTCACCTGCTCCTCACCTGCTCCTCCTCACACCTCTGCTCCTCACACCTCCTGCTCCTCACACCTGCTCCTCACACCTGCTGCTCCTCACACCTGCTCCTCACACCTGCTCCTCACACCTGCTCCTCACACCTGCTCCTCACACCTCCTGCTCCTCACACCTGCTCCTCACACCTGCTCCTCACACCTGCTCCTCACAACCTGCTCCTCACACCTGCTCCTCCTCACACCTCCACTCCTCACACCTGCTCCTACACCTGCTCCTCACACCTGCTCCTCTCCTCACACTCCTGCTCCTCACACCTGCTCCTCACTCCTGCTCCTCACCTGCTCCTCACACCCTGCTCCTCACACCACCTGCCTCACCTCACCTGCTCCTCACACCTCCTGCTCCTCACACTGCTCCTCACACCTCCTCACACCTCCTGCTCCTCACACCTCCTGCTCCTCACACCTGCTCACCTGCTCCTCACACCTGCCTCACACCTGCTCCTCCTCCTCACACCTGCTCCTCACACCTCCTGCTCCTCACACTGCTCCTCACACCTGCTCCTCACCTCCTGCTCTCACACCTGCTCCTCACACCTCCTGCTCCTCACACCTGCTCCTCACACCTCTCACACCTGCTCCTCACCTGCTCCTCACACCTGCTCCTCTGCTCCTCACACACACCTGCTCCTCACACCTGCTCCTCACACCTGCTCCTCACACTCCTGCTCCTCACACTGCTCCTCACACCTGCTCCTCACACCTCCTGCTCCTCCTGCTCCTCACACCTGCTCCTCACACCTCCTGCTCCTCACACCTGCTCCTCACACCTGCTCCTCACACCTGCTCCTCACACCTGCTCCTCACACCTGCTCTCACACTCCTGCTCCTCACACCTGCTCCTCCTGCTCCTCACACCTGCTCCTCACACCTGCTCCTCACACCTGCTCCTCACACCACCTGCTCCTCACACCTGCTCCTCACACCTGCTCCTCACACCACCTGCTCCTCACACCTGCTCCTCACACCTGCTCCTCACACCTGCTCCTCACACCTCCTGCTCCTCTGCTTCTTAGACCTGCTCCCCCTTTTCTCTTCCTTCTGCTCTTCCTCTGCTCTTCCTCTCCACACCTTCTCCTGGTCACACATCCTGTACATCTTCCTGTTCCTCCTCTTCTCCTCTGCTCCTCAGACCACCTCCTCCTGCTCCTCCTGCTTCTCTTCGCCTCAGACCTGCTCCTCTGCTCCTCACACTTCGTGCTCCTCCACGTCTCAAGCCCTGCTCCTCCTGCTCCTCTTCTCCTGCTCCTCTTTTCCACATCTCCTGTTCCTCCTCTGCTCCGTCTTTTCTCCTCACACCTGCTCCTCCTTCTGCTCCTCCTTCTCGTCTCATGACCTGCTCCTCCTCCTGCTCCTCCTGCTGCTCTTCTGCTCCTCCTGTTCCTCCTCTAGAAACTAGAATCTGAAAACTGCAAATACTGAATATGTCAAACCTGCTCTCCCCGTGTTGTATGTGTATGTGTGTATGTGTGTGTGTGTATGTGTATGTGTGTGTGTGTGTGTGTATGTGTGTGTGTATGTGTGTGTGTGTGTGTATGTGTGTGTGTGTGTGTGTGTGTGTGTGTGTGTGTGTGTGTGTGTGTGTGTGTGTGTGTATGTGTGTGTATGTGTGTGTGTGTGTGTGTATGTGTGTGTGTGTGTGTATGTGTGTGTGTGTGTGTGTGTGTGTGTGTGTATGTGTGTGTGTGTGTGTGTGTGTATGTGTGTGTGTGTGTATGTGTGTGTGTGTGTGTGTGTGTGTGTGTGTGTGTGTATACCTGTGTGTGTGTGTGTGTGTGTGTGTGTGTGTGTGTGTGTATGTGTGTGTGTGTGTGTGTGTGTGTGTATGTATGTGTGTGTGTGTGTGTATGTGTGTGTGTGTGTGTGTGTGTGTGTGTGTACCTGTGTGTGTGTGTGTATGTGTGTATTTGTGTGTAGATCTTGTACTTCGTGGGGGGCAGGTCTTTCCCGGGTCCGGTCGAGTTTAAAGATCGAGTTCTTTTCATCGGCGACATCAACAAACGTGACGTGTCCATCCAGCTCGGCCCCGCCCACTTCAGCGACAACGGCACCTACTTCTGCGACGTCAAGAACCCGCCCGACGTGGAGGGCACCCGGGCGCGCACCGAGCTGCGGGTCGTCCACCGAGGTGAGTGTGAACTAGAGCCCGACCGATATGAAACCGATATAAAGGGAGTTGGAGCTGCCGATATATTTAGTGATGTAAAAACTCACTGTAAATGTTGAATTGTTTAAAAAACTTAGGTTTGTCTCTGGTGGATTTTAAACTGGGTTTATTTAGGAAACATTTATTGTTCTTCTGACTCTTTACGTCATATTTACAGACAGTAGAATCACATTCTAGACTCTAGTGACGGGGATTCCAGTTCTTTTTAGAGAACCGGCTCTTTTGGCTCCCAGGCGACTCTTCAGATTGTTTTGTTGCAAACAGGACTAAAGCACGTTTAAACCAGAACTGAACCAGGACTGAGAGTCGGGACTCGGTCTCTCCTTCACTCAAACCCAAGATTAGTCCTGGTTTATTCATTTTATGCTGAACTGCAGCCAAATATGCACTTTTTTTCTATCCTCTGCACACGCAGATTTCACAAAGTTTCGTTTTTAGCCGCTGTCGCTGTCAAACCACGAGTCTGAACGCGACGTGAAGAGACTAAAGTGAGAGAAAGAGAAAACACGACTCCTAATAACGATCAGGCTCCCGTCGTTCGCTTCAAAGAGCCGAATCTAAGAGCCGCTTCGATCACGACCGACCCGTAACTAGTAAAGAAACTAGCGCTATTAGCCTTTAGCCGTAAATACGTGCGCGCCGCAGTCATTAATTATATACGCAAATGTCATAATTCACACGTCTGTTCACAGCTCATTTACATCAGTGCAGCTCCAGAAACAAATATACGAACAATATAATCAATATAATCAATATAATCACTTTACAACAGACCAATAGAAAACAGACTGTTTATGTGCAGGAGCTACAGCAGAAAATCAATAACAAAAACTAGCTTCAGAGTCGACATATTTCAACACTCAGCCTCACACAGGCTCCTCCCCCATCACACAGGCTCCTCCCACATCACACAGGCTCCTCCCACATCACACAGGCTCCTCCCACATCACACAGGCTCCTCCCACATCACACAGGCTCCTCCCACATCACAAATCTGAACTAATAAATGTCCTTTTACTCCAGACTCAAACCGATTGTCCGTAAAAAGAAAATAATGTCAGTGTTTGGATCTGTGTCTGCAGGTGTAAACAAACACACGTGAGTGACGCGACTCTGTGGTGTGTTCAGGGACAGTACGACACACACACACACACACACACACACAAATGACTCCGTAGATAAATACTGATGTGGAGTCACATATGAGGACATTTATCTGTCTGTAAATTGGATTAAATGAACAGAATGTAGAGAGTCTAAGATTTATAACGACGTATCACATGACCACGTGAAATATCGGCCCATATCAGCAAGTATATCGGCCGATAGCCGATATGTCTCCAGGTGCCCATATCGGCCAACCGATATATCGGTCGGGCTCTAGTCTTGACCCGCCCCACGTGGGGGGCACCTGCGCACACACCGAGCTCTGGGTCGTGCACACGTCTCCACGGAGATTCTTAAATTTATGGCTGTACTGTGGAACATTCTAGGCACATCTCCATGGAGACAAGCAGGTGATGGGGAAAGTTACACAGTGCACTTTTAAAGCTCCAAAGGCTCTGTTCCACCCGGTGATGTCATGAAGTGGGAGTTTTCAAGTTCTCAGCTCCGTTTTCCTTTAGTTCAGTCGAGATCGACGACTCCAGGTGATTCTAGTGAAGGTGAAGTGTGGAGTTTAAAAACACAGTGGAGCACTTCCTGTACCGCCACACGATGACATCACCAGGTGGAACAGAACCTGAATGTGCAGGTTTGTGCATTAAACACGTGTGACTGAAACAAAACCAGGATTTCAAAACGAGTCAGAGTTTCAACACCTGAAGAAACAAGAGGAAGAAACACAAATGATTCACACACACACTTCACGGACGGTTTAATGTGTGTCAACTCTGGAGCAACACACACACACACACACACACACTTAAACACACACACACTATACACACACACACACACTTACACACACACACACACACACTTAAACACACACACACTATACACACACACACACACACACTTACACACACACACACACTACTTACACACACACACACACACACACACACACACACACTTACACACACACACACACACACACACACACACACTTACACACACACACACACACACACACACACTTACACACACACACACACACACACACTTCCACACACACACACACACACACACACACTTACACACACACACACACACACACTTACACACACACACACACACACACACACTTACACACACACACACACACACACACTTAAACACACACACACACACTTAAACACACACACACACACTTAAACACACACACACACATACTTAAACACACACACACACACACACACAACACACACACACACACACACACACTTAAACACACACACACACACACACACACACACACACACACACACTTAAACACACACACAGAGTTGAACACACACTTTCACAGTTGTTTCGTTTCGTTCACATGTTTAACTCAGACCTGCACATTTAGACTTTAGAATTCTTCTCTCAAACTGAAAACACTCTGTTCCACCTCGTGATGTCATCGTGCGGTGATACAGGAAGTGCTCCACTGTGTTTTTAAACTCCACACTTCACCTTCACTAGAATCACCTGGACCGTTTCAGTCCTCAAGGTTTCAAGGTTCAAGGTTCTTTATTTGTCATTCAAACATGCGAGAGAAACACATGACAGAAGGAAATGTTCTCCCCGAGGCCCAGTGACCCAGAAGGAGATAAAAAAATAATAAATAAGCAACGTTAAAAAGTAAAGACATCAAAACAATAACATTTAACATATGTTATTAGGTTCCTTTTTTCAGACCTGGAGTGTTATTTCTTACCTGACAGTTTGGATGTTCACTCGCGTCTTCCTCAGTCTCGTGATGTTGCTGTGACGTGTCTTGGTCAGATGATTTGAACAGGTTTTGGTTCTGTCTTCCTACTGGTGGAGGCAGCCAATTTCTTGTCCAAATCCTGGTTAAATCCACATTTGTGCTTCGGTTCGTTACAGACTGACCCACTGTTTGTGTCTCGCTCCTTCTGAAGCAGAGACACATGTACACACCTGTTTGGTCACGACACACACACATACATTCAGTTTGTCCATTAAAATCAACAGAATCAATGAAATTCTTAATGATCAATTATCGATTAATCGATTAATCATGCCCATCTCTAATCTCTACAAAAAAAAAAAAAAAGTGTAAAAAGGAACTGTTCAATTTAAAACTATCACTTCATGACATCACAAGGTGGAGCAGAGCGTTTGGAGTTTTGGAAATGTAACAGACTCAGAATAAAGAGTCAATCAAACACAACTGCAGCTCTGAGTGTGAGGAGGAAACATTAGAACACGACTTGAAGATCACAGGGGTCAGTTTTGTTGAGGGTAGAACCTTCAAATCGAGGGAGTCCCAAAAATTGTTCATAATTTTAAAAATAATTATCTTGAAAACTACTAAGTTCGGCTCGATGATGATGTTTGTACCAGATCTTTCCTCTTTATGTTTTTGGTTCCAAGTCCAAATTTGTTTCCCAGTTGGTGAAGTTCTTCCAAATGTTGTGTTGAAGCTTCAGTCTGAAAACACAACAAAAATAAAACATTACGTATCAAATCTTCATCTGTTTCTAAACGTTCTGTGAAAATTTGAGCCGATTTCACCAAGAATCAGATTTTTTGGGACTGTCTTTATTATCGGCGAGTAGAAGCTCTGATGCTGACCGTGTGTGTGTCTCGCTTTGGCAGAGTCGTTCCCTCAGAAGAACACGGCGGCGATCGTGGGCGGGGTGATCGGCGCTCTGGTTCTGATCGCGCTCATCGCCGTGGTGGCCTGCGTGGTGGCGAAGATGGTCCGCAACCGGCACAACTACGAAGGGTAAGACCACACGACCACGACATGTGCGCCAAAGACACGCCCACGAATCTCCAAAGACACGCCAAAGACACGCCAAAGACACGCCAAAGACACGCCAAAGACACACCCGCGACACGCCAAAGACACACCCATGACACTCCAAAGACACGCCCATGACACTCCAAAGACACACCCATGACTCTCCAAAGACACGCCCACGACACGCCAAAGACACGCCCACGACACGCCAAAGACACGCCCACGACACGCCAAAGACACGCCCACGACACTCCAAAGACACGCCCACGACACTCCAAAGACACGCCCACGAATCTCCAAAGACACGCCCACGACACTCCAAAGACACGCCCACGACACTCCAAAGACACGCCCACGACACTCCAAAGACACGCCCACGAAGCTTCAACGACACGCCCACACACTCGCCGTCTCTTGTGGTGCAGTTTCCGGTGCCGGCGTCTCAGGTGGTGGGTCTCTGCATGGTTCTGGAGCATGTTCTTCTCTAACATCTCAGATTAAACCTCGTGTTTCTGTGTTTTCTGGACGATGGTGGAAGGAGAACTCGGGCTCTTTTCTCTTTAAGCGACACAAATGCCGCGTCGGTTTCACGTTTTAAGTTCTAAAAGCAAAAACAAGAGCTGTGTCCGAGTGTCCGCTGTGTCCCTGGAGAGCGCCGCCTGGAGAGCGCCGCCTGTGGAGCGAGCGAGGGCGAGGGGCTGGGGGAGACATTCGGACACGGCTCTGAACGGGTCTGGACGTACTTTAAGGAGACATTTGTGTATAAAAAAAACAAAAAACAATGTATTTATTTGTCTGTACTTTCTGAAAAGCTTCGTTTATTGTTTAATGTCATTGAATTGTTCCAAACTCCAGCTGCAGTACGACTTTAAATCACTTTTTCCACCATTGGAGTGTGTGTGGTGTGTGTGTGTGTGTGTGTGTGTGTGTTGTGTGTTCTATGTGTGTTATGTGTGTGTGTTCTCGGGGCGGCTGCTGCTGCTGGTGGTGGTGGTGCTGCCGGGGTTGGGGTGGTCGTAGTCTCTGCAGTTCTTCCTCCTGGAATCTTCAGTTCATCTCACTAACGCACTGACCTCTGACCTTTCACTTTCACTTTCACTTGGTCTGACCTTTCACTCTGACCCGGGGTGTTTGTCTCTTTCCTCTTCGCTTTTCATTCTGAACCTTTATTTCGCATCAGCGACGTTCATGAAATAATCATTATTATTAACAACAATAATAACAAAAACGACCATAACGATCGTAACCACAACAACCATAACAACAATAACAACACAACCACATCCACAACCACAATGACAACAACCATAACAACCACCACAACAATCATAACAAGCACAACAACAATAACAACCACGACGACGATCACCATGACGACCGCAACAATCACAACAACAATAATCTCAGCAATAACAACCACGACCACGACGACCACAACGACAACGACCATCACCACGACCACGACGGCCACCACGATGACCACCACAACAACGACCGCAACAACGGCCACCACGATGACCACTATGACGACAACGGCCACCACGATGAGCGCCACTACAACGACGACCACCATGACGACCACCATGATGACCGCCACTACAACGACGACCACCATGACAACCACCATGATGACCGCCACTACAACGACGACCACCATGATGACCACCACTACGACGACGACCACCATGATGACCACCACTACGACGACGACCACCATGACGACCACCATGACGACCACCATGACGACCACCATGACGACGACAGCCACCACGATGACCACCACCACCACAACCACAACGACGACCACAGCAACCATAGACATCACAACCACAACAACAACAACAATCTCAGCAATAATAACCACAACCACATTAACAATCACAACCACCACAAAAACAACAACAACAATCACAACTACAACCACACAACAGCCACCATCACAACAATAACAACAATAACAAAGGATTTGAAGTGTTCTCTTGTGTTTAGAGTCTCACACTCGTCTCACACTCGTCTCACACTCGTCTCACACTCGTCTCACACTCGTCTCACACTCGTCTCACACTCGTCTGTCGATGAGATTTCAAAGCTACAGAGAAATGATTCTGATGAGCTGATACAGAAACGACTTTTACTTTTACTTTTACCACAGTAACAGTGAAGCAGAATCATCTCACTAAACCTGTTTTAAATGTGTTTGAGCTGTGACTTCTTCACCATCCACAGCTCAGAAAAAAACAACAAAAAACCCACACTCACACAACCAAACGCACAAGAAACACTGACACTAATTTACTGCACTTATAATAATAATAATGATCGGTCGTTATCAGGACAGGCCCATAAACACAATCTCACCTGAACCTGAACCTGAACCTGAACCTGCGGCGCTTTGTCAGGCTCAGGCTCCATCGCTCTGCTTCTTCACCACATGAGTTTTGGTTTTTGATTTTCTTCACATAACGTCAGAGCCTGAAGAGTCCGACTGGGGCGGAGGGCAGGGCAGATCTTTGGTCCAGGTCGGGGCTTCAGATAAAGACTCAAAACTCCTGAGAAAAAATGACCACCTCCTTCCTTCTGTTTCGTTCTTCTGCCCTGATTTCTGCCAAAAATGATTCTAAGTCCCAAGAAAACCAAACACAAAATCCGTCCATGGATCCATTCCATGTTTTTGTGGTTCAAATTCTTTACACCTTTTTTTTTGTTTCGATACCGATGTCGATACTTTGGCTCAAAGTCTCTGTCTACTCGATATCCACCGATACCAGAGCAGAGACTGAAAATAAGACTTATTTTGTTTGTTTAAGTTTAATATTAAGACATGTTTTGGGCGACTTTAATCAATTTATCGACCAAAATCTGATCCACCAAAAAAAAAAAAATGACGTTGAACTTTGTGCCAGTTTCAGTTTCATGTGAAGATAAAGAGAATATTTTATTATTATTTTATTATTATTTTATTATTTTATGATTTTTATGATCGAACCAGGACAAATCTGCTGCAGGTTTAAGCCCCGCCCCCCTCCTCAGTCTCAGCCAATGGGCTCTCAGGATGACGTCATGTGACCTCAGGCTCGTGCATTTGTGTTTGTCTCATGTCCACGCCTCATCTCATCCGCCATTTTGTCTCTGTCTGCCACTCCTCCTCCTCCTCCTCCACTCTTTCTCTCCTACCGCTCTTCCCTCTCTTCTTCTCCCTCCTTCCTCCTCTCCTCCTTCCACTCTCCTCCTCCCTCTCTCTTCTTCTCCCTCCTTCTCCTTCCTTCCTCCTCTCCCCCTCCTCCTTCCTTCCTCCTCTCCCCCTCCTCCTTCCTCCCTCTCTCCTCCTCCTCCTCCTTCCTCCTGCTCCTCCTCCTTCCTTCCTTCCTTCCTCCTCTCCTCCTCCTCCTTCCTTCCTCCTCTCCTCCTCCTCTCCTCCTCCTCTTGTCCCTCTCTCCTCCTTCTCTCTTCTTCCTCCTCCTCTCCTCCTCCTCCCTCTCTCTTCTTCTCCCTCCTTCTCCTTCCTTCCTCCTCTCCCCCTCCTCCTTCCTTCCTCCTCCTCTCCTCCTCCTTCCTCCCTCTCTCCTCCTCCTCCTTCCTTCTTCCTGCTCCTCCTCCTTCCTTCCTTCCTTCCTCCTCTCCTCCTTCTCCTTCCTCCTCTCCTCCTCCCTCCTCCTCCTTCCTTCCTCCTCCTCCTCCCTCTCTTCCTCCTCTCCTCCTTCTCCTTCCTTCCTCCTCTCCTCCTCCTCCTCCTTCCTTCCTCCCTCCTCCTCCTCTCCTCCTCCTCCTCCTTCCTTCCTCCTTCTCCTCCTCCTCCTCTCCTCCTCCTTGTCCCTCTCTCTCCTCCTCCTTCCTTCCTTCCTCTCTTCTCCTTCCTCCTCCTCCTCTCCTCCTCTCCTCTCTCCTCCTTCTCCCCTCTCTCCTCCTCTCTCCTTCCTTCCTTCTCTCCTCCCTCCTCCTCCTCTCCTCCTCCTCCTCCTCTCCTCCTCCTTGTCCTCCTTCTCCTCCTCTCCTTCCTTCCTTCTCTCTCTTCTCCCTCCTCCTCCTCTCCTCCTCCTCCTCTCCTCCTCCTTGTCCCTCTCTCCTCCTCCTTCCTTCCTTCTCTCTCTCCTCCCTCCTCCTCCTCTCCTCCTCCTCCCTCCTCCTCCTCCTCCTCCTCCCTCTCTCCTCCTCCTCCTCCTCCTCTCCTCCTCCTCCTCTCCTCCTCCTCTCCTCCTCCTTCCTTCCTTCCTTCCTTCCTCCCTTCCTCTCCTCCCTCCTCCTCCGTCCTTCAGCTGTACGACTCTGGACAGTTCGAGTTCGTCGCACGCCCCCCCGCCGCCGCGGAAGAAGTTGGCGTCGTCGTCGTCGGTGGAGGCGGAGGGGTCCCTGGGGGGGAGCCCGACGGGCGGGGGCCCGGCGGGGGGCGGCCCCTCGGGGCCCTTACAGGTAGAAGATGGGTGTGTGCAGGTGAAGCAGGTGAAGCCGGAGAGCCGTCCCAGCAGCACGACACACACACACACACACACACACATCATACACACACACGTCTCACACACACACACATCATACACACACACACACACACACACACACGTCTCACACACACACATCATACACACACACACACACACACACGTCTCACACACACACACACACACGTCACACACACACACACACACACACGTCTCACACACACACACATACACACACACACACACACACACACACACGTCTCACACACACACACACACACACACACACACGTCTCACACACACACATCATACACACACACACACATATACACACACACACACACACACACACGACCCACACGTCTCACACACACACATCATACACACACACACACACGTCTCACACACACACATCATACACACACACACACACGTCTCACACACACGCATCATACACACACACATACACTATACACACACACACGTCATACACACACACACACGTCTCACACACACACATCATACACACACACACACACATACACTATACACACACACACGTCATACACACACACACACGTCTCACACACACACATCATACACACACACATACACTATACACACACACACGTCATACACACACACGTCTCACACACACACATCATACACACACACACGTCTCACACACACACATCATACACACACACACACACGTCTCACACACACACATCATCACACACACACACACACACACACACTATACACACACACACACACGTCATACACACACACACACACACACACTATACACACACACACACTATACACACACACACACTATACACACTATACACACACACACGTCATACACACACACAGACACTATACACACACACACACTATACACACTATACACACACACACGTCATACACACACACACACACAGACACTATACACACACACACACTATACACACACACACACACTATACACACATACACACTATACACACACACACGTCATACACACACACACACAGACACTATACACACACACACACTATACACACTACACACACACACTATACACACATACACACACTACACACACATACACTACACACACACACATACACACACACTACACACACTACACACATACATCATACACACACACACACACACACACGTCTCACACACACACATCATACACACACACACACACACACATACACACACACACACGACCCACACGTCTCACACACACACACATCATACACACACACACACATACACACACACGTCTCACACACACACATCACACACACATACACACACACACACACACACACACACACACGTCTCACACACACACATCATACACACACACACACACATACACACACACACACACGTCATACACACACACACACGTCTCACACACACACACATGCACACTATACACACACACACTATACACACACACACACACGTACACACATACACACACACACACACACTATACACACACACACACACACACTATACACACACACACACACTATACACACTATACACACACACACACACTATACACACTATACACACACACACGTCATACACACACACACACAGACACTATACACACACACACACTATACACACACACACACACACTATACACACTACACACACACACTATACACACATACACACACTACACACACACTACACACACTACACACATACACACACACACTACACACACACACTATACACACATACACACACACACTATACACACACACTATACACACACAGACAGAGACATGTGCAGCTGTATGTGTATCTGTCTGTGTGTGTGTGTGTGTCTATGTCTATGTGTGTGTGTGTGTGTCTGTGTGTGTGTGTGTGTGTGTGTGTGTCTATGTCTATCTGTGTGTGTGTGTGTGTGTGTCTGTGTGTGTGTCTGTGTGTGTGTGTCTGTGTGTGTGTGTGTGTGTCTGTGTGTGTGTGTGTGTGTGTGTGTGTGTGTCTGTGTGTGTCTGTGTGCGTGTGTGTGTGTGTCTGTGTGTGCGCACGTGTCCGAGTGTCCATCTGTGTTTGTATCTGAGTGTGTGTGAAGAGTTTGGTTGAAGACGTTTGCTCAGTTGGTCCAAGCTGCTTCTTCAGTTCTGTCAGACTCTGGTGACTCTTCCTTATATCTGCAGGAGGAGCAAACTACACTGAAACTCCTCTGGAACTAACACACACTTGTTTGTGTTGTTCAGTCTGTTGATCTGTACAGGGTTTGGGGGTCGGATTAACAGAACAATTCATGGTCATAAAGGAGAAACTGGTCCAACCAAAGAACAAAACAATGTGAAGACTGAAGTGACACTGGAGAAACTAAACAGACACTTCACAAGAAACAACACAGGACCTCAGTCTGATGTTCATCTCCACTTAAAAACCTCAGGTCACTCGTTTGAGGACAGTGAGGTTCAGATTTTAGCCAGAGAAAAGAACTGGTTTGAGAGGAGAGTGAAAGAAGCTGTTTTTATTAAGAAAGAGAATCTTTCTCTAAACAGAAACAGACTCAGACTCCATCTGTCTCCTGTTCACACGTCCAACCTCAAACCTCCAACAAAACAAACAAGAACAACAGGTGGAGTCAGGTCAGGACCAGAGGTGTGGAAGCTCCATTATGAACATGAACTGTTCTGATAATCAGACCCCCACACCCTGTACAGGTCAACAGACCCAACTAACAAACACAAACTGTAAACAAGTGTGTGTTAGTTCCAGAGGAGTTTCAGTGTAGTTAGCTCCTCCTGCAGATATAAGGAAGAGTCACCAGAGTCTGACAGAACTGAAGAAGCAGCTTGGACGAACTGAGAAACGTCTTCAACCAAACTCACTTCTGTCCAGTCGACAAACAGAATTTTCTCCTCGTATCTGAGTGTGTTTGGGCAGAAGGGAAATAAAGTGTTGATACTTTTGTGATGTTTCAGATGTTTTTAAAAACAGAAAAAAGAAAATCAAATGTGAGAGATGTTTTTAATGCCTCACTGTGGAACATTAAAGACAAAATAATCGTCTCCGTGGAGATGAGGATGAGACAGAACCTCACCGGGAAACTTCTAAAGATCATCACAGTCTTTGGTTTGATCTCTGGTTCAAAAACAGTTCAGAAATTCAAATCAGGTCAGAAAAGTGAGAGTTGTGTTCGTGTGGGATGTTTCAGCTCTGACGGGAGCTGAAACGGCGCGACACGTTTCACTTTATTTTATCAGAGACAGAGACGAGTCCCTGAGGTCCAGAGACACGGACCAAGACGGGTCCAGGTCCAGGTCCAGGTCGGTCTGGTCCCCTCCCTCTGCGAGCGTCAAGTCGCCGACCTGCAGCAGCATAAGCCCCGCCCACACCTCTGTCAATCACACTTTCACTCTCAGCAGTGTGGGCGAAGTGTCTTGCTTAAGGACACAACATCAGTCTTTCCCTCTGGCGCCCCCTGTGGCCCCGGGTGTTTCCAGCGAGTCCAGACCAGACCCGGTCCTGCTCCTGAGACCTGACCTGAGGTTTTGACCTGAGGTTTTGACCTGAGGTTTTGACCTGAGGTTTTGACCTGAGGTTTTGACCTGAGCTTTGGTCTTAATCTGAATCAAGAATATTCCACTCTATGGCATTAAATACATCTTATATTTCATTTATTTAATTACTGATATGTTTATTTCTCTTTTTATTTAAAAACATTCTTTCTGAGTGTGAGTGGGGTCGCCTCTCCACAGATCTGACCTCCTGACTTGTTCTGGTGGCCACACAAAGCTGTTTTAAAAAAAACCCAAAAAAACGGCACTGGGGTCACTCCGGGAACAACACCACTCTGGGTTATTTTCACCCAACAGTTTGTTTTGTACTCGGTTCTTGGTCAAGTTTGACTCTTGTACTGTAGTAGTAGTATTAAAAAAAAAAAAAAAAAAATAATAAAAAATAAATAAAATAAAATATTAATTTAAAAATATTTTTAAAAATGTATTTAAAAAAATAATAATACATCTTTATTTATAAAACACTAGAAGAAGAAATAGAATAAAAATAAATAAGGGATAAAATCAAACTAAAATCAGTTAAAGGAAGAACAACCGATAAAAATGAGTTTTCAGAAGTGATTTTAAAGACGATGTTGATGCTGTGAGTCTTCGATCCTCTGGCGGGTCGTCGTTCCAGAGCCGAGGTCCTGGACTGAAAAGGCTCGACCTTCGTCCAGAGTCTGGACTTTGGAACATGGACCTGCCTGAGGATCTGAGGCTCCGACGGGGTTAAAAGTTCTGAAATGTTCAGAAAAGTTCAGATCTCGGGTTCATGTTTATAACGTCCACCACCAAGTGAAGAAACCTGTGTTTTAAAAAAAGTATTTCAAGTAAATAATCGTGTTTAACCTTGACCCCGGTGCTTGTGTGTGCAGGGCCCGGTGATATACGCCCAGCTGGACCACTCCGGCAGTAAAAACTCCTTCCACAAGATGGAGCCAGTGGTTTACGCCGACATCCGGAAAAACTGAAGTCTCCCAGGACCAAAAAACAGTCAAAAGAAAAGTTGGTGTCGCGGCGGCGCTCCAGGAGGGGGCGCTCCGGGAACGCCGGCCTGTCCTCGTGTCGTCTGTGTCCGCAGGAAGCATGAAACCAACCAACAAACGCTCGTATCCCCGTGTCTTTTACGTGTTAGAAAATCTCCAGAGACTCTGAGGCGCTCTGTCCGTTTAAAGAGCCGCTAGCCTGCTGCACTGCACCGTCTAGAACAAACCGACCGAGCACAAACGCGGCGCCACCCTCCAAACCTCCAACGCTCCAAACCTCCAACGCTCCAACCTCCAACGCTCCAACTTCCAACGCTCCAAACCTCCAACGCTCCAATCTTCCAACGCTCCAAACTTCCAACGCTCCAAACCTCCAACGCTCCAAACCTCCAACGCTCCAACGCTCCGTCACGTCCACCAGGGTTTGGCCTTTTCATTTTGTCCGATTCTTTTTGTTTGTGAACTTTTGCGTCGCCGTAAGTGTCTTAACCACGAACCACTTTGAGTCTTAACGAGTGAAGAATGTACCGAGGACTTTAACGACACTTTGAAATGTTGCTCTTGCAGGTTTATGGACCAGAAAAAACGGATCAGATTCGAATATTTAAGCGATTCGTTAAAATTAAACCTCGGCTCAAGAATCTCACCTGGTTTAAAGACGCTCGACCTGATTTTTACATCTTAAAACCGTTAAAAAAACCGAAGTATTTCATGGTGAACAGGTCCACAGTTCCTCCTCACGACAAGTTTATCAGCACTTTTCACTCTCAGACCGTCATGCTAACGCGCACCTCCTGATTGTCAGACTATAGAACAGTTCGTATGATCTTTCTGCGCTGGTGACGCGAGAATATTCACAAACACATGGAAAAAATCAGGTAGAGCGTCTTTTATTAGAACAGAAACACTGACGCAGATCGTCAGCAGTCTGAGATTTTATTTTTATTTTTTTTAAAGCTCTTAATGTTTTTCAAAATACGACAAAATCTCAATCTCTGCTTCTCTGATTCTTGAAAACGCCGCTTCTTGGCGAAATGTTTACCTTAATTTCCGGACTTTTTTCCACACCTGAGTATAAGACACGACTAAACAAAATTTTAAAAGAAAAAAAGAAATTGTACATACGTAACTTGAGAAATTTACATAGATTTTATTTTATTTCATTTTTTATTAAATACTGGTTCATTGCAAAAAAAAAAAACTTGGCCAAATTGTAAGACGTGCAGTCTTAAATCTGTCAGAAAATGATTTAAAAATAGTGAAATGAGATCGTTTTACTGGACAAGTGAAATCTTAAAATAAACGACCTCAAGAAGTAGAAAATAAATCTGAAAACAACGTGAAAAAGAGAGAAGTTCGAAAATCTTGGTCAGATCAGACTTTTGTAGTGTGTTTACTGGAAAAAACAAAACTATCTAGTTAAAATTTGACTTTATTTGAAATGATCCAACAATGGAACAAGTGTTTTGTTTTTTCTTTTAATTCAAGAAACATTCGATTTTGTTTCTTATTTGTATTTTCATATTTTTAAACAAAAAGTCTTGTTCCATTGCAGATTATTTTATTTTTACTCAAATCATGATGAAAGTTTCTTAATTCCAGTCGTCTGAACTTGACTAGATTTAGTTTGTGGAATCATCAAAGCAAAAAAGTTTGGCCAAAATGTAAAATCTAAACATTAAAATTTATCAGAAAATGATTTAAAAGTGGTGAAATGATGTTTCCACGCAACAAAATCATTTTACTGGACGAGTTGAATCTTAAAATAAATGATTGAAGCGTCTCAGAACCAGTGAGTCGATCATAAATCTAAAAACAACATGAAGCCGCGGCGTCGTTTAAGTCGCAGGTTCAAAGTTTGTGGAAAAAGTCACAGCCGGAAATTACGGTAAATTTATACCAAAAAAAAGTGTGTTTCTGGTCCACGGCCGATGAGTCGTCTTCAGTCAACTTCAGAACGATCGTGGCCTTAAAGCTGCACTCTGGAACTTTTTTGTTGGGGGTTCGTCAGCTCTTTGTTTCTGTGGATTTAAATGAAACTAAAAAATTTATTTTTTTATTTTTTTGTGGAGATGCAAATGCAACAAACAGCAAAAGTTTTTTTTTGTTTTTTTTTTAAAGTTCTACGCAATTAAAAAATATTGTGTTTCAGTAAAAAGTCTTCGTCAGATGTTTTTTTTCCTTCAGACCAGAGTTTCTGTGGATTTGACTTCTGGAATGTTCCGCAGTGTCACTTTAAACACCTCGACTTTACAGTTATTCAGTTACAGGAGGATTTAGAACTCAAACATTCCAGAAAACCAAGACCAGGACCAAGACCAGGACTAAACCAAATCAGGACCAAGACCAGGACCAAGACGGGACCAAGACCAGGACTAAACCAAATCAGGACCAAGACCAGGACCAAGACGGACCAAGACGGGACCAAGACGGGACCAAGACGGGACCAAACCAAATCAGGTCTAAACTAAACCAGGTCTGAACCAGGTCTGAGCTGGAGCGGCGTCTCCACAGATCTGACCTGTAAAGGTTTAATGCCACACTGTGGAACATTCCAGACAAAACAAGAACACGGAGACACACACGGAGAAAAGTGTTTGACGGAGCCTCCAGCAGAAAAGTTCCACAGTGCAGCTTTAAAAAAAGAACCAAATCCACAAAGTCCTGGAGAAGGAAACTGCCTTAAAGTTAATTTTTTATGTGAAACTGTTTTTCAAGTTGATCAGAAAGTCTCGTCTTTTCACTTTTGCTCTTAAAAATGAAGGTTTTTTTGGTGCCTTGTTGTTTTACTCCAGATGCCCTCCCGCGTCTGCTGTGGGTGGAGGCGCCGCCGTCGCTTCACTAAAGCCGCACTCCGGCACTTTTCAGGCACATCTGCTCACGCACGGCAACGGGCTCGCCTCTCCACAGACCTGACCCGTAACCCGCCGGAATCCTTCGTTTCCGTAGCGACCACGTTTAAAGGAGTAAAAACACAAATATTTTCCGTACACATGAGCAGGCGGTGGAGCCTCGGCCTGAAAAGTTCCGCAGTGAATCTTTAACCCACAAACACAGCAAAAAGTGGAGGGTAAAAATGAACTCCCACAGAGTTAATCTGAACATTTTCTCAGGGTTTATACGAGTCCAAGTTCCTGTTTAACCCAAATCCAGAGTCACATGAGCGTTTAGAGAGTGAACGGATAACACTTGTAGAGTTATCCTCATTTACTGTTTTATTTTGACACTTTATTTGAGTTAATTTAAGATGAAATTCAGAACAAAACTGGTTCAAACTGGTTCTTCTCTGGAGGGAGTTTGAAGTGGAGGAGACGAATTAACACTAAGAGAAGTTGAATTAACACTAGAGGAAGTCGATTTTTACACCAGTGGGAGTTGAATTAATCCAATCCAACTTTGTTTTGTTTATAAAATGTGCTCTAAAAATAGTTTCCAAAATACTTTACAGAAAAATGTCAAACAATTTACTTTATAAGAAAAAATAAATCTGAATTAAGCTCGAAGAAACGAACAGAATCAATAAAAAAATAAAATACTTTACAGAACAATGTCAATCGTTTTACTTTATAAGGAATTAAAAAAAAAAAAAAAAAAAATTAAATGGATAAAAACAATAAATGACACACAGAATTAACTTTAAATCTAATCCAACCCCCATTTAACTTTCAAAGATTTAAAATGACACTTTTTGAGTTAAAAACAACTCTGGAATATTTGACCCTGAAATTTTCACCCTCCAGTTTTTGCTGTGTTTTTTATTTGATTTATTTTTTATTATTAAACTGTTTTAAGTCTTAATCTTGTTACTTGGACCATTTTGCCAAACGTGAAGAGGACGAGGTGGAGCAGGAGCAGCAGGTGTGGCGCCTCCTGCTGGTGCAGACGGTCGGTGCAGCAGACGGCGTCCGGCTCGTCTGTGTTGTAGTGGCTCCCTCTAGTGGCTCTGTCGTGAGTGTGCATGCAGTGACCCCTTTGACCCTTTGACCCTTTGACCCTCTGACCCTTTGACCCTTTGACGCCGGCTCCATCTGTGAAGGCTTTTGTCGTCGTGGCCCCTGAAAACGGCGCCGCCTGCGGTTTGACCTCAGTACAACATGAAGACTTTATGTTTTGTTTTTTGTTTGTTGAACAGATTTAAATTCTTGATTCTCTGAAAATTGTTCATTTTTATTTTGTGTAACCAAAAAAAACAACCGTAATTCCACTTTTTAAAGACGAGGTGTCGTGTAAAAATCAACTTTTTGTCTCTTTCTCTCACGTTCGGACGCTGTTCCTCATCACAAACGTGTCTGAACAGGTTCGTCTGTGTGTGTTTGAGTCATTTAGAGATCTCTCCTGGCCCTATTCAAACTCTCTTTACTGTTGCCTGTATGAGGCTCCGCCCACAAGCCTACGTCACCCCTGCCCCCACATGACACTTCTCCCTGGTTTAGACCAGGTTTAGACCCTGGTTTAGACCCTGGTTTAGACCTGGTTTAGTCCTGGTTTAGACCTGGTTTAGACCTGGTTTAGACCTGGTTTAGACCTGGTTTAGACCTGGTTTAGTCCTTGGTTTAGTCCTGGTTTAACAGAAAACACACCAAAATTCCTGCAGAGATGCAAATTGAAGGAGCAGCAAGACAAAAGTGAAAAAACGCACAACAAACTCAGACGACCGACGTCCAAAACCTTTTCTGTTTTTAAAATAAAAAAAGCCTTCGTCAGGTATTTTTCTCGCTTTGGACAACAACACTGCATTTTTTCACTTTAGACCTGGTTTAGTCCTGGTTTAGTCCTGGTTTAGACCTGGTTTAGTCCTGGTTTAGACCTGGTTTAGACCTGGTTTAGACCTGGTTTAGTCCTGGTTTACCTGGTTTAGTCCTGGTTTAGACCTGGTTTAGACCTGGTTTAGTCCTGGTTTGGACCTGGTTTAGTCCTGGTTTGGACCTGGTTTAGACCTGGTTTAGACCTGGACCCTGTTCAAACCCTCTAAACTAATCTGTACGAGGCTCCGCCCACAAGCCTCCCACACGACAGTTCTCCACAAACACACAAAAACATGACATAAAACTTGATGTGCAGGAGTTTCGTTAGTGCGACACGAGCTGAGTGTGTTGGGATAGCGCTCTGAAGGGGCAGTGACTTAGCGTGGGGAGCAGAGGGAGGAGAGACGTCGTTTTTAAAAATGCAGCATTTTTAAAAACGACAAAAGGAACATGTGGCGTTTCAGCGAACACCTCCTCTTTAAACTTTCCTCATTTGTTGACCTTTTTAAGGCCTCGTCAACGTGAATTTTAAAGATGTACCGT